TCTCGGTTTACTGCAACCTCTGCCTCCTGGATTCAAGTGATTCTCCTGACTCAGCCTCAGGAGTAGCTGGGATTACAGGCACCCGCCACCATACCTGGCTAACTTTTGTATTTTTAGTAGAGATGGGGTTTCACCATGATGGCCAGGCTGGTCTTGAACTCCTGACTTCAGGTGATCCACCTGCCTCGGCCTCCCAAAGTGCTAGCGTTACATGCGTGAGACACGGTGCCTGGCCCTTCCTTTTCCATTTTGGTGCCCTTTATTTTTTTTTCTTGCCTAACTGCTCTGGCCAGTACCATTCCTTTCAAATGTTTGTTTATTTTTTTTACATTTTTAAAATTTATTTTTATAGCAATAAGGGTCTTGCTCTGTCACCCAGGCTGGTCTCGAACTCCTGGGCTTAAGTGATCCTCTCACCTCAGCCTCCTGAGTGGCTGGGATTGCAGACATGCACCACTGTGCCCAGCTAGTTCCATTATTTTCAGATAAATTTTTTCAAATCCTCTAGAAACAGGTAATATTTGTGCTTTTTAAACAGTTCATAATACACACAAAATATAAAATGTTTCTAATATTTATTATGTATATAACATATTGATAATCTCAAAGAATTCTAGATTCCTAAAGGATTTCTGTGTAAGCACTGAGAGATAACCTGTCTTAGCCATTGCTAGTCAGAACCAAAGAAAATACCATGAAGATTCTGAGGTCTTCCACCAAGAAAAGTTTCTTAAAAGAAATGGAGGCATGAAGGCAGTTAGGTAATGACAGCAATGACAGAATGAGAAAAGTACTGCAACAGGTCAAAAACCTGCTTTTTTTTCCTGGTTCTGCTACACAATTCAAGATAACTTTAACCACCTCTCTGGGGCCCAACTTCTTTACATTGCAAAGAAGTTGGAATAAATTATCTTTCTGTGGACCCTTTAATACTCAGTTCCACAAATTCTGACTCAGAGGGGTCAGTGAGAACTCCGATCATTGGGAGGCAATCAACTCACTGGATGGCTTTGAGTAAGATGACTTTTGGTGTGCCTGTCAGTTCAAATCCTCCTATAAAGTCTCCAACCTCAACTCATCCCAACCACAGGGATGAGCTACATATTATGGATCCTTTTAGGAAAAAGTATCTTGTTAGTCACAACTATGTTCTCCCTTTAAGAAAAATGAGCAAGCGAAGCTACTGTTTAGAGAGAATGAAGCAGATGTGCAAAGGGATCACAACCATCAGGGTAGGAAATACATCTTGGTTTACTGCTGAATCTCCAGTGCCTAGATCAGTGCCTTGGGCCTAGCAGGCTTTCATGAAATAATTACTGAATGACCATTGAATTTCATTCCCTCATGTGGCTTCCATGAGATACTTCTGTATTTCTCTAATCATTCCATTATTCCTCCCCCTTAAACTAGTGCAAGTTGCTTTCTTACAACCAGAAAGTTCTTCCAAATACACTATGATATTCTCCCCTTCATAACCACCACTTACTTCACTACAGGTACATGTCAGGCCTCAGGAAATACAACACCAGAGACTGGATCACACGTTCCCCGCTCACGAATATAGAATTGGCACATGAGATTAGGTCGGTCAGCGGCACTAGAGTAAAGGTGGTGACCGACATCAATGCAGTGCATAAAGGCTGGCCAGCAGGTGAACTGATAAGAAAGCAGACACAGAGAGGAAAGTAGACAATGGTGGTTCTGAGACATCCCTGTATTTTCCTGCTATGGACTGAACATTTCTGTCTCCCACATCCCCATTCATATGTTGAAATTCTAACCTCCAATGGTATTTCGAGGTAGGATCTTTCACAACTAGTTCATAAATGTGGAGCCCTCATGATAGGATTAGTGCTCTTGATTGTGATGGTTTCATAGGTTTATGTCAAAACCAATAAAAATTTATGCTTTAAATACATGCAGTTTCTTGTACTTCAATTGTACATGAAAGTTGCTAAAAATGTGGAGAGTTCACTTATTAACTGATTTTAGTTAGAACAACCAGTAATGTACCAATAATGGAACAACATTTAAGGTGGTCCCTTATGACTGTGCTATTTTGGACTTAATATCAACACTTACTGATTTATTCCACTGCTTTGCCAACTCCCTTTGCCCTCTGCTCCCATAAAAGTGAACAATCATGAATGCCATAACAAAATTGGTAAACTCGGGCTGGGCACAGTGGCTCACGCCTGTAATCCCAGCACTTTGGGAAGCCAAGGCGGGTGGATCACTTGAGGTCAGGAGTTTAAGACCAGCCTGGCCAACATGGTGAAACTCCATCTCTATAAAAATATAAAAAATCAGCCGGGCATGGTGGTATGCATCTGTAGCCCCACCTACTTGGGAGGCTGAAGTGGAAGAATCGCTTGGACCCAGGAGGCGGAGGTTTCAGTGAGTCAAGATCACGCCACTGAACTCCAGCCTGGGTGACAGAGCGAGACTCAAAAAAAAAAAAAAAAAAAAAAAAAAAAAATTGGTAAACTCTAATTCAGAATTAGTAGAACTAGGATGCAAGATCTTATATGTTCCTCAAATTTGTCAAGGTTTTGCATTTTAATCTCTAAATCCCTTCCAGGAGTTAAACATCAGTATAAACTGGGGTAACTGATTTTAACATAAACCAGTGTTATGGTTTATGTCAAAACCATCTACTTAAATTACCATCTAAGGACAAGGCCACATAACTAATTTTGATTCCCAAGTTTACAAGCACCATGTCCAGTACAGAGGAGAGTGAGAAGAAACAGGGAAAGGGATAAAGGATATGAAGACAGAGTAGGAAGAAAAAGGGTATGTGTGCAGAATATGTGTGGGTACTGATTATGCAGGGTCTTGTAGGCCGTGATAGACATTGGACTTTAGTCTGATTGTAATACAAAACCATTGGTGATTTTGAACAAACAACTGGCATGGTCTGATTTATATGTATATACACACATACACATTCATTTTGTTTTGAGATGGAGCCTTGCTCTGTCACCCAAGCTGGAAAGTAGTGGCATGATCTCGGCTCACTGCAACCTCCAACTCCTGGGTTTGAGAGATCCTCCTGTCTCAGCCTCCTGAGTAGCTGGGATTACAGGCACGCACCACCATGCCTGGCTAATTTTTGTATTTTTAGTACAGATGGGGTTTCACCATGTTGGCCAGGTTGGTCTCGAACTCCTGCCCCCAGGTGACGCACCTGCTTTGGCCTCCCAAAGTGCTGCGATTACAGGTGTGAGCCACTGCACCTGGCCTAATTTGTATTTTAAAATAAGGATCACTCTGAATGCTATGTAGAGAATAAATTACACGAGGAAAATATAGAAGCAGGGTATATACCAAAGAGTAGGCCAAGAATGGGTGCACATGTTCACTGAAAGACAGGGTGATAATTTTCATAGTAACTTTATTCATAACGAGCACAAGCTGGAAACAACCTAAATTTCTATCAACAGTAGAATGGGTAAGTTGTGATGTAGTCACACAATGGACTACTACACAGAAGTAAAACATGAACTGCTACTACATATAACATGGATTACTCTCACAGATACAATGTTGAACATGACACGGAAGAGTGCATATAATTATCTCACTTACGTAAAGTTTTAAAACAGGCAAAGCTAATCCGTGGTGATAAAAGGGGTTGGTGGGGGGGCCTGGGGAACATAAACACACCTACTGAAGTGCTAGAAATATTCTACATTTTGACCTGGGTGGTGCATTCAAGGGCATATATAAAAATCCACTGAGTTGTACACTTAATATCTGTACACTTTAAAATTTTACCTCAATAACAAGTTAAAAATATATTGGAAGCAAGCATATAAATGAAGAAGTGGTAGTGTCTTCCAAATATTTCTGATTTTTCTCCCAGGTATATGTAAGGACCACACTCTTCCTAGAACTTTAATGTGGCTATGTGATTTGCTTTGGCCAATGAAAGTGCTTTGAGAGTCCTTAAGTGATTTGCCATACTCTCTTTTTTCATTTCCCAGTTAGCAGCCACACTCCTGATGGTATCTGCTTTGTCAGCCTGAGACCTAGAATGAAGGCAACTTAGAGCACAAATTGGTGAACTTTGTCTGTAAAGGGCCACAGAATAAATATTTTAGGTTTTGTGAGATGTACACACAGTGTCGCAACTACTCAACTCTGCCATTGTAGAACGAAAGTAGCCACAGATATAAATAAATGGACAAGGCTATATTCCAGTAAAACTTTATTTAGACAAACAAGGAGCTAGACAGATTTTGCCCGTGGGCCATAGTTTGATCATGGCCAACCTATGATCTAAACCAAAGTCCCTTCTACTGCAAGTTGCAATAGAAAAGTTGTGTGAGACAGTAAGATTTTGCCTTTGTTATCCAATGGCAAGCTAGCCCATGCTGATACAGAAATTGGTCCCTTGTTTTTTAAAATGCTAAAATACTGAATACTGGCTTAATGGTTAGCTGGAAGGCATTCAGGAAATTACTATCAAAGGATATCAAAGGATATAAAGAAGGAAATTACTATCAAAGGCAGATCATCTTACCCTTTACTAAAGAAAAAGACAGAAAAACAAAATATTTTGTGGTTGCTGTCTACTGCACTTGACAAAATGTACAGAAAAAAGATGAACTCAGAACAGATGGGTCAGTTTGCAGGCAGAAATGAAAAGGAATACAGAATTCACAAATTCAAGTAGTTACTGGGTAGGATGAGGCAACATTTTAATAACAAAAAGATAAAAATGAGAAATCTTTTTTTGTTTTCTTTTTCAGACGGAGTCTGGCTCTGTCATCCAGGCTGGAGCACAGTGGCACGAACTCGGCTCACTGCAAGCTCCGCCTCCTGGGTTCACGCCATTCTCCTGCCTCAGCCTCCTGAGTAGCTGAGGCTACAGGCGCCCGCCACCACGCCTGGCTAATTTTTTGTATTTTTAGTAGAGACGGGGTTTCACTCTGTTAGCCAGGATGGTCTCGATCTCCTGACCTCATGATCCACCCACCTTGGCCTCCCAGTGCTAGGATTACAGGCGTGAGCCACCACGCCCAGCAAGAAATCTTTTTAAAAATAAATAAAAAGAGAAATCCTTTAGCCAAAAGGTTGATTAAAAGCCAGTTTTGCAGCCGGGTGCAGAGGCTCACACTTGTAACACCAACATTTTGGGAGCCTGAGGCGGGCAGACTGCTTGAGTCCAGGAGTTTGAGACTAGCCTGGGCAATATAGCAAGACCCTGTCTCCACATAAAAATACAAAAATTAGCTGGGTGTAGTCGCATATACCTGTAGTCCCAGCTACTTGCGAGGCTGCAGTGGGAGAACTGCTTGAGCCAGGAAGGCAGAGATTGCATTGAGCTGAGATTGCACCACTGCACTCCAGCCTGGGTGACAAAGTGAGACCCTGCAGCAAGGACCAAATCACTGGATGACTATGACACCTACTGTTAAGATCTCTGAATGACTTAGTATGCCTCAGACTAAAAGTCCAACTAAGATTATACTAGTTAATCCCTTAAATTGGTCAGAAAGGCTTAAGGAAATAGACTAAGGGTGTGGCTTTCCCACTCAAGCCTGAAAAGCCTCAGTTACCCAGAAATTAAGTTCAGAGAGGCATGGGAACAAGAAGGCAAAGAAATACAACAAACTTTAGAAGTATACATTAACTAGATGTTACTTTTGGGTCATCTCCCTTTGGGTGATAAGGACATTGTGCAGGTACAAAAACAAGTGAACTGAATATATAGTGACCAGAAGGGCTGAGTCAGTCTTCTATTTTGTTAAATTTACTTACTTTTAAATCCCAGAAGAGCCAAAAATCATCTGTAAAGGAAAGTAGCAAGTAAATAGCATGTCATTTTCTCCTAGTGTTGATGCCTACAAAAGGAAAAATGATTATTAACTCTTAGGCGGCATTATCTTTTTCCAATACTAAACGTAACATTTTAATCACTTATATATTGTTCTAGTTCACTAGTTGTCCAATCTTTTCCCTCTATATGTAGGTTCCTTTGGAAATTAAAAAATATATATATACACATATATATATGAAACACTGTTCATAAAGGGCAAAAAAAAAGATTCACAAACTTAATATTACATAGTGGATTTGGTGTGTATATCTGGTTGTGAATCCTGAGTTTACTACTTACTGTGTTTACCACAGAAAACCGCAATTTGTTTAACATTCACATAGTAAATATTTGAGTCACATGCTAAGCGCTACACTAAATTCTGGGAATACAACAATGAGGTCCCTAGTTACAAAGAACTTCTCTTCATTTTTCGATTAGTAATATGAGGATAAAAGTTACCCAATGGACAGTCTAAGGCAGAATGATTGTGAAGGTCAAATAAGACTGTGAGAGAGCTTCAAAAATTGTAAAACACTACACAAATACTCGTTTGTCCAAACATTTATTGAAATGCCAGGCATTGTGCTAAGCACTAGAGATATAACAGTGAACAAGGCTTATATGGTCCCTGCCCTTACAAAGCTTACAGTCTAGCAGTGATCAATAAGCAGTAACAATAAAGTGTGCCAAGTGTATGTTTGGGAAAGAACAGGATGTATAGGGAACGGAGAGTAAGGGCACCTAATCTAGAGGGCATCAATGAAGGTTTCCTAGATGAAGTGGCATACTGAGACCTTAAAGATGAAGATAAATTTGTATAGTACCCTAAGAGCAATGATGAAAGCAGTGCAGTGATATGATCAGTAAGTCTTTTGGAGCAATTTAGTTGTAGTGTAGAAAGGAATAAAAATAAAAACAGGGAGACTAATAAGGAGGCTGTTGCTATAATTAGGTAGGTTAATGGCCTGAATTAAAGTGGTAGCATTGGAGAACTGGGAAAAAGGACAAATGAATGGTTGGTAGTGGTAATGCCATTTAGTGAAAGAGGAAACATGAGAGAAGCAGGATTGGGGGCAAGATCAGTAACACATAGTGCCTGAGACAGCAAAGGGGATTTGTTAGCAATTAGATATATCAATTAGGGAAGGTCTAGAAAGGAGATAATGAATCTGAGAGTCATTTGCATATAAGTGGTAACGAAACCATGGAAGGAAATAAGATCAGCTAGCGAGATGACACAGAATAAGCCAGTCTAAAACACATTTTTTAAAAAATACGAAGAACAGATATTTAAGGGAAGAGGTGCCTGCAAAGACTAAGACAGCATACCCGGAGATGGTATCTTCTCAAAGCTAAAGTAATCAAGTGTTCAAGTGTTTCAAGGAGGGTAAGACTATTAACAAGGACTTAGTGAGCATAGTGGAGCAATTTGAGTAGCAATACGGGAGACTGGGAATACAAATTTGTCAAGAAAACTAGTAGGAATGAGCTACAGGGCAGTAACTGGTAAGGACATTTTTTTTTTTTTTTTTTTTTTTTTTTTGGAGACGGAGTCTTGCTCTGTCCCCCAGGCTGAAGTGCAGTGGCACAATCTTGGCTCACTGTAACTTCCACCTCCTGGGTTCAAGTGATTCTCCTGCCTCAGCCTCCTGAGTAGCTGGGATTACAGGCGCACACCACCACGCCCAGCTAATTTTTTTTTTTTTTTTTTTTGTATTTTCAGTAGAGATGGGGTTTCACCATGTTGGTCAGGCTGGTCTTGAACCCCTGACCTTGTGATCCCACCACCTCGGCCTCCCAAAGTGCTGGGATTACAGGCGTGAGCCACCGCACCCGGCCGATTATTGTTTTTTTTTAAAAGGTACTTATTTTAACTATATTCACTGCTACAACAGGACCAGTACCAACTGTATTTATAAAAACAAAAACAAAAAAAAAAAACTGCCATGCAGTTACAGAATTACTTAATACTTAATACAGAAAACACTAAAATACACTTTTTTTTTTTTTTTCTACAAACAAGACTAGCTGATAGCAAATTCTCTATAGCTAAGGGTCAATTTAAAATCCTTGGCTTATCTCTCCCCCTCACTCAATGACTATACGATGCAAACTAATTTTATTAACACCTTAAGCAAAACATAGTAGAATTTCACAAAATGTACAAGATTTCAATATTTAAGGAACTGGTGTTAGAAAGCAGAAGTGGCTTTCAGGTCTTCCAATCTTTCTCTCAAGTAATAAAGCTCTGCTGTGAACATTCAAAGCTATTGGGAAATTACCTGCAGATTTTTTTTTTTTCGGTTTCCCACTATGTTGTTTTTCTAGATATGTAAGCTTACTCTACTAACCAAAATCTCAGCTTGATCATTCTTGATAAGTACCTAATCGATATACAATTTTTTTTCTGCCTTAAATATGTATAACAGGACAGAGCCCTTAAATCTGATTCAATTATTAATTCCTGATTTACAGGTGCTATTGTGAGCTAACAGAACTTATCAATGCCTTTATTGTACTTTACCAGCCAAATTTAGAAGGTTGGAATTAAGTCTCTCCTATGTAGTATTCTGTCAGTTTGTTCACCTTGCACTTTTAATTTTGCTTCTAATTGTAAAGTGCCCTATCCCTTGAAATAATCTACATTTTGGGAGGGATAATTCTTCATTGTGCCAGGCTGTCCCATGCACTGAAGTGGATGACTGTCTTTAGGCTTAAATGCCAACAGAAGCCCCGAGTAAATATGACAACCAAAAGTGTCCCTACACATTTCTCAGCATCCTCTGTAAGGACAGGTTACTGCCTCTATTTGAAAGCCACTGGCACAACTTTGGTTTTCAGGCTCTTATGGCATTTCTTTTAATTGCCCAGACATCAATTCCATTTAAATTCTTAGTCGTAGCCTGGTTCCTTGAATTTGCTGGAAGGTGTTTCAATAGTTAAGACAGGACTTTGGAACAAGAATTTTTAAACTGTATAATACTTGAGAGGATCTATGAATATAAGTTGGGTCCTGTTTATAATTAGTTTTACATAGCAAACTTTAAGAGTGCCTTTTCACGGTTAACAGAGGTTTAGAAACTACCGTTTTGGCACAAAGCAGATTATCTTAATAGAAATACAGAATTATTGAAATCTGTGAATAGGACTGCTTTTAAATATTTCTACTTGTGTGCTATCTTAAATATAGAACGTGTTCCACAGTTCCAAATTTTAGAATAAATCCATTTCTAGCATCTAAAAAAATCTGATACTGTATCATTTTAAAACAAAGTGTTTACTTTAAGCAGGATTTTTAAAAATACAGCAGCAACATCCACGCAGATAAGACAAAAAAGCTAAAATATCTCACACCTCCTAATCCCGGAGTGCAAAAATCTTTTTTCCTCATCCTTTTTGATAGGGCCAAACTTGCGTCTACAGTAAAAAAAAAAAAATAATTACTAACTGGCAACCATTAAGATTCTATACTTACCATAGTCCTTTAATAGGCAAGCTGATAAAATAGCCCCCAGTTATAAAAAAAAAATCCAAGGAAAACCCCCAATAATTAGTCTTATCTCCAAATTGCAGGAAATCTCCTATATCAGCAACTTAAAAATGATTCTAATGACTTCCTCTATCAGTAATGTCGGTATCACTGAGGTGGGTGATGGGGAGGGAAGAGGGAAGAAATTTGTCAATATTACCTTCGGACTCAGAAATGTTTAAAAAAAACTCTCAAACATTTTGATAGACAAAACACCTCCACTGTATGTATGGTCTTCCTTTTCAGAAACTTATGAACTTGCTATGTGAGTTTCTGCAAATTGGTTCAAAAGCACATTTAAAGAGTTGATAATTTAAGACTATATGAAACAGAATTTTAACACTCCATTAAAACAAGAGCTGAAATTTTTGGCATATATCTTCAGAACACCTAAAAAACAGACTGCAAATTCAACTCACATTAATACTAAATCTCTTTAAAATTAACTATATCATAAAAGACAACGACTTTGTCATTAAACTAAGTTTTAAAAAAGGTGGCATTCTCATGTTTCAGTCCCATGCTGCCATTTGAGATGAAAAAAAAGGCAACTGTCAGAATTTTAATTGTGATCAGTTTGGACGGCTGGTACTTGGTACTTTCTCACAATCCAAATTAGTAAACTTGAAAACTCAAACCGATTTTTGCTTTTAGAATTAAATTCTTGTTGAGTTTTTCAATCTTGTACTACAAAGTCTTATGGATTAGATTCATTTCTTTCTCTCACAAGATCATCCCAACCCGGCTCCATTTCAGTTGTGGCAACCCGAAACAGGGCTTGGAGATGCTCATCTGTCAATGGCTGACTCAAAGTGTGTTGGTTTCGTGTCAAATATGAAAAAGCCTTTTCGCAGATTTGGTTACTATCAAACAAGGATGCGACCTTACAGGCAACCCCTTTGATAATTGGGTAAGATTCAGCAGACAATCCAGCATAAAACTGCCCCAAGTCTTTGATTCTGTATTCATTCCAAAGATTAGTGTTTGCCTGAAGTTTTGTCAGCTCCACCCTTACTGAAATAGGTGCATATTCAGGTTTAAAGTTAAATGGATTTGAAAAAAGCTCTAAGTCCTTTTTAATGAACCTGAGGTCCTTAAAATGCCTCTCAAATTCTTTTTGTAGACGACAGATCACCATTTGATACCTATCAGGATCAAATATTTTTTGATCTTCCTTATTTTGCTGTTTTAGCTCATCAACAACTTCTCTGAGGGCAGGAAAGTCTGTTAGATTTTTTTCCTCAATATGTCTTTGAAATAAATTCAGCTTCACTTCGAAAGTACAAATATGGTCAAAGGCAGCAGCAGCAAAGACTTTACTAACTCGTAATTCTTCACTGAGTTCTCGAAGGTGTTCCATAATGTCTACCAAGAAGCCAAAGTCACAAAGCCATTGTTTGTCTGAGAAGTGGACTGTTGTTGCCCCTACTGAAACCAAGAAAGCTTCCAGTTCTTTTCTTAGAGAGAATATTAGTTTTAAAGTTTTCCCTCTCCTAAGCCAATTGTTCAGACATCGTCCATTAACCCTTTCGCCATGCTCTGATTCAGATTCAGTTAGTAAAGTCTGAAATTCAGGTCGCCTAACGCCTCTGGTCTTAATCAAAACTATCCATTCGGATATGGTATTTATGATCTGATTAACATCTACATCATAGGAGCTCAACAGTTCCAAGTGAAGAAATCCTGAATAATGAATCACATTCCAACAGTTGGGGCTTACAGCCTTTTCTCTCATGTATGAGACGAGTCCTGAGTTCTCACCAATCATCCTCAAAGTATGGGTCGTAGTCAGTCCAACCATTCTCTGCAAGCTAAGCCCTGCTGTCTGCAGGGCCTCTAGGATTGCCGACATGAGCGCACCAACACTGAAATGATGAGTCAGGTTGATTATGGTCAGAAGATCTTCTTGCACCTCCAGCTCAGGGCCTACCCCGCGGATAAAGACCAGGAGGTAGTTCTCATAGGCCACAAAAGCCTGGTCGTCCAGGGCAAGAGAATAGGCTTTAAAGTCCCTGGCTCGGTTAAAAAGCTGGCTGCGTAGATTCCCGTCAATGCTCAGGATCCTCTGCCTTGTGATCTCTGGAGATAAGTCAATGCCTTGCAAGACGCTTACATGCTCGGGCAGTACCTCTCTCAGCAATACCTCCATACACTGGTATACAAAGTCTCCCTCACCCCAGCCGCGACCCTTCAAGGCCAAGAGGCGGCAGAGTCCGAGGCCTGCACGAGCAGCTCTCTCTTCAGGAGTGAGCGAGGCCACGGGCAAGTCGCCCTGACGCAGACGCTCCACCAGGGCCGCGCGCTCGCCGTCCGCCACATACCGCTCGTAGTATTCGTGCTCAGCCTCGTAGTGGCGCCTGACGTCGCGTTCGCGGGTAGCTACGATGAGGCGGCGACAGACCAGGCACAGGGCCCCGTCGCCCTCCGGAGGCTCCACCACCAAATAACGCTGGGTCCACTCGGGCCGGAAAACTAGAGCCTCGTCGACTTCCATCTTGCTTCTTTTGGGCGTCATCCACATTCTGCGGGAGGCCACAAGAGCAGGGCCAACGTTAGAAAGGCCGCAAGGGTAGAGGAGGAGCCTGAGAAGCGCCAAAGCACCTCCTCCGCTCTGCGACAGATCACCTCAGCGGAGGCACACAAACCCAGCTCTGGAATCTCTGCCCCTATTGGCTGGATATTTCGTATTCTCCGAGTTCCAAAAACGAACCAATAGGAAGAGCGGACAGTGATCTCTCTAACGCGCAAGCGCACATCCTTCTAGGTAGCGGGCAGCAACCGCTTCAGGGAGGGACGAGGAGACCCAGCAACCCACAGAGTTGAGAAATTTGACTGGCATTCAAGCTGCCCAATCAATAGCTGCCGCTGAGGGAGGGTCTGGGCGGCGTAAGCTACAGCTTGAAGGAAGAACGTGAGCACGAAGCACTGAGGCGATTGGCTGAAGGCACTTCCGTTGAGCATCTAGACGTTTCCTAGACTCCTCTGGCGCCAAAATGTCGTTCGTGGCAGGGGTTATTCGGCGGCTGGACGAGACAGTGGTGAACCGCATCGCGGCGGGGGAGGTTATCCAGCGGCCAGCTAATGCTATCAAAGAGATGATTGAGAACTGGTACGGAGGGAGTCGAGCCGGGCTCACTTAAGGGCTACGACGTAACGGGTCGCTCCTCTCAATGGTGCGGACACGCCTCCTTGCCCGAGCAGAAGCATGTACAGCGCATGCCCACAACGGCGGAGGCCGTGACGTGCCGGTCAGGCCTTCTCCCTTTCCACAAACCGTGTGTTTACCGCTCTCGCGAGACCTTTTAAGGGTTGTTTGGAGTGCAAGTGGAGAAATATACTCAGTGTTGTCGTAATGGTGCCGTTAACTAAGGAAGCCACTTAATTTAAAATGATGGTATGCAGAAGATGCAAAGTTGAAAGATGTATAAAAGCTTAGGATGGGGAAAAAAACCTTGTTTTCGGAGGATACTGCGTTACTATTTTCTTGCTTTTCATTCATTCCAGAAATCATCTGTACACATCCAAAGGCACAATTCATTTTGAGTTTCATTCAAAACAAATCTTTTGTAGTTTTAGGACAGGCTGATGCACTCTGGGCTTGACTTCTGATTACCTTATTGTTAGATTAGTGACCCCACTTAGTGTTTTCCTGTCCTTTACTTGGGAGGGCGCAATTCGAAGATACCAGATTTCATGGGTCATCCGTGGATTTTGAAGCTTATAACTGTCACAAAAAATGTGGAGGGAAGAAATTTGAAACATGTGGAAGGAAAAGTGAGTGTGGACTATAAACTTCCAAAAAGACATGCCCAAAATACACCTAAACGTTATGTCAGATCATTTTGTTAAAATCAGTTGATGTTAGTGAAGTCCGTATATTAATAGAAAAAAAGAATGCTTCAGTTAGGAGTGGTAGGTTTCTAGAGGGATTTATTGTGAAAGTATAAACTATTCAGGGCAATGGGACTGAAAGAACAGTGGGTAGAAAGGACCACTGAAGGAAAGGAAGAGAATTTGGAAGGTAGATGAAAGAAGGAACAAGAAATGGGGGGATGTTTTCTCCTTTTCACTTGTAATAGTAGTAACAGAAGCAGTGGCAGACTTGCATTTGTTTCTACTATGTTAGAATGAATGACAGAACAACTGGGCCTATTATTGTACTGTGCCAGAATACTGTAAAACAAAACTGAACGTACTAGCTTGGTGGCTTGTAATTAATTCCTTAAGTGGAGATTTTTTATTTTATTTTATTTTATTTTTTTGAGTTGGAGTCTCACTTTGTCACCCAGGCTGGAGTGCAGTGGCGCGATCTCAGCTGACTGCAACCTCTGCCTCACGGGTTCAAGGGAGATTCTCCTGCCTCAGCCTCCCGAGTAGCTAGGACTGTAGGTGTGTGCCACCACGCCTGGCTAATTTTTTGGATTATTGTATATTTTTTTGAGATGAAATTTCACTCTTATTGCCCAGGCTGGAGTGCAATGGCACGCTCTCGGCTCACCGCAACCTCCACCTCCTGGGTTCAAGTGATTCTCCTACCTCAGCCTCCCGAGTAGCTGAGATTACAGCCATGTGCCACCATGCCCAGCTAATTTTGTATTTTTAGTAGAGACAGGATTTCACCATGTTAGTCAGGATGGTCTCTATCTCCTGACTTCAGGTGATCCACCCACCTCGGCCTCCCAAAGTGCTGGGATTACAAGCGTGAGCCACCGCGCCTGGCTCAAGTGGAGATTTTTATATGGAGTCCAGCTATACTCTTTTTAACATTTAAGTTGAGCTGACTAATACAACTTCAATACAGGGGCCCATGAGAAAGGTCTATAATGTTTAAGTAACTTACTGTCTTCTTTCTTTTTTTTTGAGATGAAGTCTTACTCTGTTGCCCAGGCTGAAGTGCAGTGGTGTGATCTTGGCTTACGGCAACTCTGCCTCCTGGTTTCAAGCGATCTTCCTGCCTCAACCTCCAAAGTAGCTGGGAATACAGGCGTGCACGACCACGCCCGGCTAATTTTTTTATTTTTAGTGGAGATGGGGTTTCGCCATGTTGGCCAGGCTGGTCTTGAACTCCTGACTTCAGGTGATCCGCCCACCCAAAGTGCTGGGATTACAGGCATGAGCCCCCATGCCTAGCCTATTGTTTCTGAATAAAGAATTGTCTATGTGGGGAAGAGATAACTCTTTCTCGTGCTGCCCATGATAGAAAATTTGTTTTCTCTAGCAGGTGGTCTATGCTTGTAGGCTACTCTTTGAAAGCACAAAAAATTTATTGACTTCTTTTTTTCTCTTTTTTTTTTTTTTTTTCAGATGGAGTTTTGTTCTTGTTGCCCAGGTTGGAGTGCAATGGTGTGATCTCAGCTCATCGCAACCTCTACCTTCTGGGTTTAAGTGATTCTCCTGCCTCAGCCTCCCAAGTAGCTGGGATTACAGGCATGTGCCACCATGCCCGGCTACTTTTGTATTTTTAGGAGAGATGGGGTTTCTCCATGTTGGTCAGGCTGGTCTCGAACTCCTGACCTCAGGTGATCCACCCGCCTCGGCCTCCCAAAATGCTGGGATTACAGGCGTGAGCCCTTGTGCCTGGCCAAAAAATTGATTGACTTCCTAAAGGTTTATTAACTTTCTGCATTACTGTTTTTTTCTAACCTCCATCATAAATATAAAAGGGAATAGTAGAGAAAATCGTTCAGAATTAGTATTTTTTAGTGACATTTTATTAGAGTCACTAAGGAACCTGAGGCTGAATAAAGTTCAGGTAAAAGTAAAATTAGTTAAGAAGAGGCATCTGCCAAAAGAAATCTATTTTTAACTTCTTGCTGTCTTTCCTAGAGGAACAGAAATAGTGCTGAATGTCCTATTGGAAATGATGGTTGCTGTACCGTCTGTTCCCTCTCTCACACAGTGTGTAAACTCATACAGTGTATGAGCCTGTAAGACAAAGGAAAAACATGTTAATGAGACACTATTGTATTTGTTTGGAGTTTGTTATCATTGTTTGGCTCATATTAAAATATGTACATTAGAGTAGTTGCAGACTGATAAATTATTTTCTGTTTGATTTGCCAGTTTAGATGCAAAATCCACAAGTATTCAAGTGATTGTTAAAGAGGGAGGCCTGAAGTTGATTCAGATCCAAGACAATGGCACTGGGATCAGGGTAAGTAAAACCTCAAAGTAGCAGGATGTTTGCGCACTTCATGGAAGAGGCAGGACCTTTCTCTGTTCTGGAAACTAGGCTTTTGCAGATGGGATTTTTTCATTGAAAAGTTCAACACCAACAATAAATATTTATTGAGTACCTGTTCTTTGCTGGGCACTGTTCAGGGGATGTGGCAGTGAATAAAATAGATTAAAATCTTTTCTGATGCTTACATTATAGTGGTGGGAGACAAAATGGGTATAATAAATAGTATATCAGATAGCATTAAGTACTGTGGAGAAAACTAAAGTGGGGAGGAAGATAGTGTGCAAGCTGGAAAGGATGCAATTGAATTGCGTGGTTCAGGAAGGCTTCCATGTGGATGTGATATTTGAGGGACCATTGGAAGTCAAGGAGCAAATTATGAGGCTACCTAAAGGTATTGGCATACAGAACAATATATGCAAAGACTATTAAATGGAAGCATACCTGACGTGTTAAAGGACTATGAAGGAGGCCAGTTTGTCTAGAGGCTGAAAAGGAAAGAGTAATAGATGAGGTCTAAGTGAGAACATGTAAATCCTTGTGGGCCAAGGTAAAATCTTTAGCTTTTTTTCTGAATATGGTGGGATACTATTAGAGGGTTTTAAGCAGAGGTTGCATGGTGTGGTGAGTTTTTAAAAAATTGTCTTTCTATGTGGAAAATAGCAGGACAGGGCAGAAGCAGTCTGTCCTGCAGACTGCTTGGTTGCAGTAAAGATGTAAGAAGCAGTGAGATTCTGGGTTGATTGTGGAGGCAAAGCTCTCAGAATTTGCTGATATAGGTTGTGAGAGAAAGAGGAATCAGGAATGATTTCAAGGTTTTGGTCTGGTAAACGGAAGAAGGAGTTGCCATTTACTAAGATGGGAAAGACTATGAAAGAAGCAGATTTTCGGAGAGATCAGAAGTTCATTTTGGGGCATGTTCAATTTAAGATGCCTGTTAGTTGGATGTTTATGTGAGTTTGGAGTGCAGGGTGGAGATTTAGGGATGAATATTTGGTGGTTGTCTGCATTGTAAAGGTATTAAAAGCCACAAGAAGGCTGGGCGCGGTGGCTCATGCCTGTAATGCCAGCACTTTGGGAGGCCGAGGCAGGCAGATCACCTGAGGTCGGGAGTTCGAGACCAGCCTGACCAACATGGAGAAACCCCATCTCTACTAAAAATACATAATTAGCCGGTTATGGTGGCACATGCCTGCAATCCCTGCTACTCGGGAGGCTGAGGCAGGAGAATCACTTGAACCCAGGAGGCAGAGGTTGTAGTGAGCTGAGATTGTGCCATTGCACTCCAGCTTAGGCAACAAGAGCGAAACTCTATCTCAAAAAAAAAAAAGCTTTGAGACTCGCCTGAAAAGATACTCAACATCATTAGTCACTAGGAAAATGAATAAAAACCACAGTGAGGTATCACTTCATACCTATTAGATGGCTATTATCAAAAACAAAAACAAATGTTTGCAAGGATGTAGAGACTGGAATTCTTGTGTATTGCTAGTGGGAATGTAAAATAGTGCAGGGTGCTATGGAAAATGCTGTGGCGATTCCTCAAAAAATTAAACAGAATTATCATATAATCAAATAATTCCACTTCTGAGTTATTCCC